ACATGCATTAATGTAGAGATAATGGACTGATACCACGTGTCTTACACTCGTTGCACTTCATCAGGAAGCACCTCCTTCCCACGTACTGTACCACCTCACTCAACCCAGCACTGATGCCCACCCCCTCTATGACTTACCATTTGTCACCCTCTTCTCCACCGAATCACAGGTCCACTTACCTGTCAATTCATCTCCACTTTTCTTTTGCTGCCTTGCTCATAAAAGAGGGTGAGGATCATATCGGCATTTACAGTGCATTGTGTGCCAAGTGACGCTTGCTTAATTCAACTCCTAACACCAATGCCATAATACCATCTCATGTACGTCGAATCGGGCATTTTTCGCTGCATCACCACTGCCACAGAAGCATGCACAGGAGCAAGCAAAATCGCAGAGGAGAGAGTAGAGTAAACTTCGAAGTAAGCAGATTTCGGATGATGCGAGTTGGTAATTGGACAATTGCCTCGGCTCCCACTAACACTCCGTTTCATTTGCACTTGTCTTGGGGCTTTGTCATGGAGTTCCAAATCCACTGTCCACTGTGATTATTTCTATGCAATGCAGCATCTCACAATAATGCCTTTTACCTAATGACAATTTACTTTCTCTCCCCAAAAGCCATTTGGCACACTTCCCTTTCTCCAAGTAGCATCTACATCCAATGACACATTGAGTGATGTTGACAGCTGCCTATCACAGCCGAAGCACAGAGGTGTGTGGGAGCAGAGAGAACAATGCCATTCACTTAAACGAACTGAGAGTGTATGTGGAAATGATGTGCAATCTAGAACTGGGTTGTGCTTAAACTCGCTGCCTGTTACGCATTCGCATTAATCCATCGGATCATATCTGATCTCACCTGGGTTCTAGCAGAGCATTCGTTGGCAGTGCATTGGTTCACCCCCCTGTTCCATATCACCAAATCATATCGTGTTCATGTGGTTCAGCAGTTGTCTTTAGATGTGTCTTCAATTCAATATTGTAAGTAGCTGTACTAGTTTGGTTACACAATGCTAAATAGAAGTATAAAGCAATGGAATGTTGTTGGAGCATAAAGGAGTTGAGAGGCCACACTCGTGAATGACTGACA